TAAAACTGGCATCGGCCAAAGATGAGGCCTGAAGCCTAGATATACACAGCGGTAGAACTATCAACTTCTACGGCATCAGTGATTGGTAACCTGCACCAGAGAAATCCACTTCTAGGAGCAAACTGAAGAGAGTTCAACCGTACTTAACGAGTCCCAAACCTATCACACATTATCGCTACGCTAGTATTTACTTCAAGATCAACTCATCAAGAGCCGCAGCAAGTGGACTTCATCATTGCAGCTTGTTCTCTTTTCAGACGTACTACAAAGCTCCCCCTGCAGGCTGTAGGGAATGTTAAATCTTTCAATGATAATATTGACATAAAATCAAAACTGCTCATAAAAATACATCGGCAGTTCGAAAGATGCTGAGAACACCCTTTTTTTTGGGAAAACCTCAGATGCAAAACTCAAAATTGAAGGAGAAGCTTGGCCAAAATACGTTTCAGTGGTTGGTTGGAGCTGGTCTTTTGACAGATGTGACTTGATTTGTACGAAATTCGCTTCAGCGGTTACAAACCAACAATTATATATACATATATATATACTCTCTTTTGTACACTGTTATGGTTTCATTGTCCGCTGCGTCCATCACTCGATCGACATAATCGCCCAGCAGAGTCGCTAATTCGACTAACGATGGATCGGTGTCACCCCACGTTTATTCAAGCGAATAATGCGCAAACTCGGGGAATCCGTACAGTGTGCGCCGAAGACACTATTGCTGGAATAAAGCATAGTATCGAATAAAACCCGTATAATTCTATTTGTCATAGCTCGCAACAATTTTAGCTATTTTCAACAACTCAAGAGAAAATTTTCTCAAATAGTCTCGTCGTGAGGGTCTACAAAATCTAACTACTGCAAGAAATGAAGCTGATCCTCCATCAAGCGCTCAAAACGAGATTGCCAGTGTCCCCGGTTTTCACCAAAAAATTTGATTCAGCTACGAAGCTCACTTTCGTGATAATCCACAAGTCATTGCCGAGATGCCGTTTCATACTTAAAAGTCTCTGTCTGGTGTACTTGGGTGAGCAAAAAGAATCTTTGATATTTAACGCTACAGCCAATGGGGAACCTATAAAGTCCTGATTCATGACATTTAAGGGCCAATAATTGCTTCAAAATCTTCAGTTTCAACAAGACGGTGCTACTTGCGATATAGAACGAAGCAATAAACCTATTGAAGGACGCCTTTAGTTAGCACACTTTTGACCTGTGATGTGGCCTCGAAGTAAGAGCGATTTAATGCCGCTGAAAAACTTTTGCTGAATTATGTTGAATCGCATGCTTAGACAGATAAGCCTGAAACAATTGATATTTTGCAATAGAATTTACGGTGCATTATAGCTGGCATAAAGCTTCAAGAAGCTACCGACCACCAGTCTATCGACTGGAAATTAATGAATAAACTCATGAGCTTGCAAAAGTAAAAGGAATTAGAAACGATATTTAAAAGTAAAAATCTTGTTTAAATAACGGCAAAGAGATTAATATAAAAGAAAAAATTAAAAGAAAAAATGAAAAAGAAACGAAACGTAAAACCAAATTAGCACATAATCAGCAAAAACAGGAAGGAAGAAAGCAAGAAGAAAAACAGCGACAAGAAACACATTGATGTGGGATAAAAATTAAAAAAAAAACAAAAACTTTCCACAACTATTAAAGTAAAATAGCAGCAGACAAAGACTACAAACCGGAAGTAAGAAGAACAAAACTAGAGGGAAGAACACAAATTTCGTCTCTTATTGTTCGGGCTAATCTTTTAGTAGCAAACAACAACAGATGCAGCAAATGCAATTAAAGACATCGCTTCTACTTGTGTTGGGCTAATTTTAATTCTCCGAAGTGCACACAACCTAGCAAATACAAGGCAGTATTACTTTCTGTATGTAAACTGCAAGAGTCGTTGCTAGTGTAGCAAGTTCAATGCCTCTTACAATTCATGGTTTTATAACAGTCCATTTTTCCAGTCTGTGATGACTGCATTCTCTTTATGTTTGCAACTACATTCACTAACACAATGAGATCACACCACATCGGTATGGTATATTGGCCTAATGGCTAATCAAAAGAGAAATGCAATAACTACGGACAGTGCATAATAATCATTTATTGCTAGTAAATGCACCCGGAAATACATACAGACATAACCGAAGAGAGATATTGTATTTCCTGTCGGTTTGGCCTCCAGACAAAGGAAATACCATTTCCTTCAGAGTTTAATTTTGCAATTTTTGTTCCTTCCCCGCTTCTGCTTCACTTCAGCTGGCCTTGTTGTGCAACAGTTAAAAGTTTCACCTTCACAATTATCGTTAATAAATTTCCATTGTCTATTTTAGAGCTGCAGGTTTTTACTAGGGTTACCTTTTATGCCTCGGGATTAGAAAACAAAAGCAAATATAAGTCAACGAAAATTGCTTTACTGTTATATTCTCCATTAAGATCTACGCCATACCATTTGCATGCGTTTGAACCAATTGCCGAAGTACTTTCACTGCTCTTTTTAAGGTATCCACAGAACATGCACGCATCAACGCATCAACCGCCTCTTCAGGTGTTGAAAAATGTTGACCTTAGATATTTTTTTTTGTTTACTACAGTAACAAAAGTAATTCAGTCGATGCCAAATCAGGACTAAAGGTGGATGCCTCATTCAATTGATATATTTTATTCAGTTGATTGAGTCAATGTGGAGAGCTCGCATTGTCGTGGTGGAGAGTGATCCGTCTTGGGTGTTTGATTTTTCTGAAAGACAGCTGGCAAACAAACAGTTGTCTAACACTCGGAATTTACTATTCTGCGTTGCTCTAGTGCTACCTTTGCGGAATATCCAGTTTTACCATAAAAAAGGCAACCGGTTGTCAGCATGCGCTTCGAGAGCAAACAACTTTGGGTGAATTTGGCTACTCCTTAAACATCCATACATCCGACTTCTGCTTAGAAATTGATTGTTTTTTCTCACAGATGCTCAATGTTTACATACCGACATAAAAGCACCCTGTATGTATGTTATGTACTCGTATGGTGTAAAAATACCGTTGGAAATAAGTTTCAAGTGAAATTGGCAAACATTTTCGGAAATAATTTAAAACCGAAACTGAAATTGAGAAACTCAAGACTCACTATGCAAAAACAACCAAAGCCTTTGAAGCGACATTAACAGCAACAAAAGTGGTGACAACTCAACCAAGCGTGGAAATGTTTGAGGCGGAAATTTTAGCGCCATGCAGTGACAATAACAACACAAAAAGGAAAGGCATCACAACACAACCGCCAGCAAACCGACTAAACCAATATCAGCCAAGTAAACGAGAAATCGGAGAAGTGAAAACACACAACTAAGTAACCGCAAATGACAAGAGCATGGTGTAAGTCTAAAACAAATTGCGACCGCACAAGCAGAAATAATATGTGCGGAAGAGTAAAGTATGTATGGAACGAAATATTAAATGCCTACCAAATTATAGTCGAATGCCTGAGTCGTTTCGTTGTTTGGTGCCAATTGGAAATCACTCTCAGCTGAATCCTTTCAACGGAGTGCAGGTCGTCCTCTTGGAAGTTTGATTGCTTCCTGTCATCCGTTTGGAGGCAAATCTGTCTCTTGAAAACCCTGTTGTCCGACGGTAGCCCTGTAGCCAAGCAGATGAATTTTCATGTGCCATTTGATGGTATTACAGACAGTTGTTCTCTCCCCACCTTTATATGATCGCTATAGTACAATAGATATACCAAGAACTCACCTTCTTCCGTCCTTGTTCGGCCCGTCACACTACTGGCACGGCAATTATAATGGCATTCATTGGTCGTGTTATTGTTTTAGTTTTTCATTCGAACAGATTTTTTTTGTTGTGGACTTAAGCTCTCCTCAAAATGGATATTTTTTTTCTGAGCTAGTTAAACCACAAGTTAATGAATCGTTTTTGGCCACGCAAAGGCTTCAAAAATGTTCACCATTTTGTGGCCTGATGGCGTGGTCTTCTACAAATGGCAATGGATTACAGCTATAAAAGACAAAGGCTTGAAGCTTATAAAGCTTTTGCATGGGCTATAATATCGACATTACTTCATGAAACCAGTATTAAAATTCTAGCTCTGAACTCTTAATTAAAGGATAGAATGATACCAGTTGTTGGAATAAAATGAACTCAGGTGAGAGGCATTTCAAACTGGCATAACTTCAAGTTTATGACCGCAAAGCCACTCAATGCGTTGTATGTGTTAATCTTAAATATTTCGCGAGAATTACAGCAAACTTCATTTTTTCAACTGCATGACAACTGTGATAGTACTGACCCAAAGACAAACAAACAAGCCGAAGTATGCGGTGAATCAACATCACTTTACGAAATGACGATGTGAACGCTTTGTCTCCTACTGACTCACCTCAAAGCATAAACAATTATTGGTTGCTCTCAAAGGCCAATTGATATACACAAATTTGTGGCAATATTTTTGTGAGCTGCAATCTATTTATATTACAATATTGAATCTGAGCAAAGCAGCCATTGGTGGTTGGGAATGATTGCGGTATAAAAAGATCATAATTAAGTAGTCTAGGCAATGAATAGCCAAGTTTTTCAAAGCATATTTTAGATCTAAATTATTTATTAAAAGAGTGAAAGACTAGACAACAATATTGCTTTCTTGAAATATATTTTTCGTCCTCTCACTTACGAATGCGAATCACCCCCATTCACACGGCAGGTAAATTGAAAGTTTTCGGTTTCGCTATTTTGTTCTATTTAAAAACGCATGACAACATTTGATGAAAATTTGAATGAAGAATAGCATAAGTTAAGGCTTTGGCAGTATCGTGAAGTAGACCGTCCACAAGAAATGCTTTCGCCGTAGTCATGATAACTTTTTCAATTTTTATCTGAAATCAAAAATCCAAATCTTTTCCTAAAGTAGGCGAATTTTCCTTGTGCCTGAATGAAGAAAAATTAAAAAAATTTTAAATTGAACTCTTTTTGTCATTTTTTGTATAAAATGAGACCGACCACATATTGGCTTGTAAAATGAGTTGAAATCATAGATGGAATAAATTCTTCTACAAAAAAAAAGTCAAAATCTCTTACGCATCGTTAGACCATTAAACAAAGATTTATTGAGCGAAAAATGTTGCCGTACACTGTTGTTAAAAATCTTTCAACTCCCCTAAAAGATGCTAAACATATTTGGTAGTCTAAGCAAAAGCTGATATCACCGTCGTCCATGACGTGCAACAAATGGGATCAGGATGGAAAACTTAGAATATTTACTACCAGTGATTACATAAAAGGTTGCAAAATTGGTGGTGAGTTAGTGGTGGGAGAGAGGCTACCTTCCGCTGATGCAGATTAATTGACAGCAATAACGTGGAAAGTTCCACGCCAAAGAGCTGCAATCACAATAAACAATCGAAGATTTTTCTAATCGATTCTCACTTTTGCGCTCTCAGCATTACCTTTCGGGGCAGTAAAGAGCTCGCAAACAAAACATTAACGGTGTGGGAAAGATATCAAAATTTTTATGAGGAGAGCGAGAAGCCAGATATATTTGCAGGCAGAAAGAGGCTGAAATGCGTGAGTATGAAAAACTTGAACAGATGACCAATAAAGGACATTTTCGAAAATTCTGCGAAAAAATTCTGACCTACAAATTTTTATGCAGGAATGGACTGACCGACGATCAGAGTTAATTCAGTTTATGAAGGAAATATTCGTCCAACCTGTTTGACTGCAGTGAAAATGAAACACACCGAGATGGCGAAACCGAAACAGAAGTTCATTACCCCATCTATAAGCAAGTTCGAAAATCAGTCACCTACTTAAAAAACGACAAAAGGATAGGAGCCGATGAACTGCCCGCTGAGCTAATACGGCAGCGAAGAACTAGTCAAGTGCATGCATTTGCTTCTATGCCGTATATGGTTGGAGGAAAGCATGCCGAACGATAGCAACCTAAGTGTGGTCTGCTGGAACCACAATGTGAATCAATATGGTGGGTTAAGTATAATTACATATTATCGTTATTTCTAAGTTGCACGTTATGCGCAAAGCTAAAGCTCACCCACAGACCTGGCAGTCAGCAATCAACAAGATATGCCTCATATCCCAAAAAAAATGGTCCGAAAGAAAAAAATACATACACAACACCTCTTTATCAATTTTAAAGACGCCTTCACAAGCATTAAAAGAAGCTGTCTTGCCACCACTTATCCTGCTGTTTACACTTAAGGAAGTAGAAAAAGCTGATTACTTTACTCATTACTTTGGTAACATCAGTTCGAGAAAGATCTGGGCGCGCTACTTTTCTTGAGATGATATTATTGTTGCCAGGTTAAAGATCATTCTATCAGAGAGTTATTTATTTTTACCCTCAAGTAGTTTGACCTGATATTTGTTTGTTCTGTTCCGCTAGTTCTCCAATATTGTTAAGTTCTGTCGACAATAGGTAATGAATCTAGCTTTAGCTTCCAAAACTTCCAGTGTGAAGTTCTCAAATTGAGCCACTAGGTGAATCTATCCCAGGTAAGCAGAATTTGATTATGTAATATTGAAGTCTCCCGGAAGATATAGAGGCGATGAGTAGAAACTGGATGTTCTTAAGCCAGTACTTTTATAATGACTCTTCGGATATCAGTAGTATCAAACTTTAGCCAGAGCAATAAAAAATTATTTTTGTACGTACAATTATACGTTTATTTTTCTTCATTTTCCTTTATTTTCCACTTTTGCGGTATTTTTTTTATTGTGAGTTTTTTCGGCTGGAAATTAATTCGTTTTATGTGGCTTTATCGGAATTCCATGTAAACCATATCGAGATGCCATTAAGCGCACACGTGTACGTGTGAACATATTTGTATAAGTAAATATGTATAAACATTGCACACACACACATGAACCCAACTCTTTGGAATAACATTAAAACTCCCAAAGGTTCACTTTGACGCTTCTTCACTTGGTTTTCCACTTGGACTCATTCAATTCAAATACATATGTGGAGCTTCAGAGGAGTTTTCATTTCTACAGCAGCAAATAAAGACTGTGTGTGTGTGCATGTACATATGTACTTATATGTATGTCTATGCTTTTGTGTGTCGCCCAATGCGCAAATATAATATCAAATTAGACTTTCCGCTTCATATACGCTTTGGACTCGCTCGGCATTACATGAACGGTGCCTTCTTCCATAGAAGAAAGTTGCGAAATATAAAACTCTTTCGTTGCGTTTTACAAAACTGTAGAGTTGCGTTTGTGTGGGTGTTTAATGGCGTATATGTTGCGACCACAGTGTGAGCCAAAACCAATAAAATTCGTGTATTTATGTGCGTGTGCTTCTGACCGGATATTGCTGGCAAATGATGTCTCTCTTCTTTGTTGCCTTTAATGCGTTCAGTTTAAAGTTGTTGTGAATGTTATTGGAAGTTTTGTGGCTTAGCAAATAAAGCGCTTTTTTCTGCTCACATTAGTTCAGTATAATTTTGCCCTCTGCTACAGCGAGAAGTTGCCTCTCGATCGGCCTATTCTCTACCTGGTAGCTTAATACATCTAGGGAACGGCTCTGAAAGTGAATCTAACGTCGAGTGTGTCGAGATCTTCCTATTCGTTTATCCCTCTGTAATATAACTTCAGTATGGATTGTGATATTTTCGTAATAATCGGTCGACTTATTCCATGGATCTCACACGTTATTCGTTGGAAGTAACAAATAAAAACTGAAAGTCACAGCTTCATAGAATTTACAAATCAATTACGTTCAGGCGGTGCTGCTCAGTTAATAGAATCGTCGTAAATGGTGTTCACTAGCTACTGGCTCGGTGGAGAGGAGTCCGCACTATTCATTGGAATCCTCACAAAAAGTCATTAACGGTTCATTGGCCCAGCTGCACTCCATATTCGTAGAAAGTTATTTGAAGTTCTTTCTTTTAACTAAATTTTAACTAAACTGATAAAACGTGTTGTCCATAGCCCATTCCTATTTAGCGAGCTTAACTTTGCCATCTCTTAAATATTATCTAGACACTTTAGACCATTTTTTAGTATTCATGCAGAACAAACTTTGTAAGTCTCAGCCCTTTTAGATGTTTGTGCAACTATTTTAATACTTAGTTTACGAGGCAAGTGTCACCGCGACCTTCCGTGATCGGTCTTGTGCTCAGCGACTGTCACTGGTTTTCGGTTACCAATCTGTTAAGTTTATCGATTATTCTTTGGTTTATTGGGTGAGGGGTGAGTGGTAGGTAACACTAGGTTCGTCGTCAATAAAACCAATTAGTAATTTTGCAAAGTATAAAATTCGCGATAATTCAGTAACAGAATATGCAGAGAAAGTTAAATATGCCAAAGACGATAGCGTCAAGCACTCGTAGTGGAAAATAATTTTGAATGGGCGTGGTATCAGCCAATTTGATGTAAGGAAGTATGCCTCAGACGCTATTGCACAAAATTTAAAAAAAAGAAACATTGGATATGTGTACATAAGTAATTCCCATAAGTAAGGAAAGCAATCAAACGGAAAAATTCATCGATGTTGAGAACACAGCCAATATTGGACATATAATAATAAAAGTTGAAACAAAATATGGAACTGATAAGTGATTATAGAATTAACATGATTATTAATTTGTAGAGGGTGTTGGCATTGCTGCTTTCAATCCAGCGCAAGCTGTGCCAACTGTGAATTTCCCTTTTTACACTTATATATATATATAGTTGTTTCAATTCCACTTCCAAACAAATCTACGAAAGCAGGCACGTGTTAAGCAGGGCCTCAACGACTAATCGGATTTTAATTAAGATACCAAACAGTAATTAAGCGTACTCTACAAAGGTAAAGCAGCCGCCAGGTCTGCATTTTGCTAATGGCTATACCTTTACACTTACATGCACATACATACATACTTGCGTATGCAGATTCCTACAAATCAGTGAAATATTTCGAGTGTATTTATCCCACTTGATATCGTCCTTGAGGTTCCTAATTAATTTAGCAAGAGAAGCCAAAGCAGCTACGGTCGCAGGAGGTATCAAGCGTATTGTTAAAATACACGTACAATGATGGGCGTTAAGCAGCTGCTGCTGGCATCTTTGAAAATATTTATAACCATCTGCGATGCAAGGAAGCGGTGATAGACACACTTAGTCTGTCGAGCTGGCGAGTTTCGTTTAATCAGCCATAAATACAAACAGTAATGGCACAAAAAAGAAATTAAGCTGACGTGATTCAAATTTGCCACAAAAAAAATTAAAATGAGCGCTGTACGACATTGTAGTAATTGATCTTGCACCTTTCTCTCTAACTTGGCTTTTTTCATGATATATCTTAAGCTGATCCGACAATGAAATAAGCCCAATTCAATGCGCATAAAAATATGGTTTGAAAGTTTTTTTTTTCTAATTTAATGCTAATACTTTAGAGTACGATGACGATGACGTTTTTTCCGTTCCATTACCTGACCACGAAAAAACCTTGTGATAGGCATACTTATTATCACTTATTGGACCTTATCAGTTTACCTTGATTGACCAGATATTCACCATGTGCCAAATCTTGGAAAAGAGCCGTGAAAAGAGGTTCGACACACACCACCTCTTTGTCGATTTTTAAGCCAAGCTATCGACGAATAAGAACTGTCTCTATGCCGCTATGTCTGAGTTTGGTATCACTGCAACACATATACGGCTGTATAAGCTGACGCTAGACAACACCAGAAGCGCTGTCAGAATTGGAAAGGATCTCTCTGAGCCGTTCGATACCAAACGAGGTTTCAGACAGGGTGACTTTTTGCCATGTGACTTCTTTAATTTATTACTGGAGAAAATAATTAGAGCTGCAGAACTGAATAGAGAAGGTAAAATCTTCTATAAGAGAGTACAGAGTGTACGCCGATGATATTGACATTATTGCTCTCAACAACTGCACTATTGGTTCATTGGGTTATTGGTTCCAGACTTGATAGAGAAGCGAAGCGAATGGGTCTGGTAGTGAAAGAGAGCAAGACGAACAGTCATCAGACAAACAGTCATCGCATTCGCGGCTCGGCTCTCTTACTCTCGCTGTTGACAGTCATAACTTTGAAGTCATATATAATTTCGTCTATCTAGAAACCAGCATTAACACCAATAATAACGTCGTGGGACCATCATACACCAGAAATGTATCCAAGCAAATGGTTGACTGTTTTTTGGAAAATCTGTCATATGGCAAGCGCCAAACATTTGTTGGATAGTTTTCTCAGATCGTAAAACTGATCATTGTGCCCCATAATAATGCGGGCTTCCACACACCGACATTTTTTGTACCCAAAACTTTGAGCTGATGAGTCATTGAGAGTATAATTCTGACCTGGCACCGTACGAATTCTTTGTATTTCCTTTTTTACTGCTGAAAAGGCGGTTGATGCATTCGGATAGTATGTTTTGAAGATACCCCAATCACATTGATTCAAACGCACACAAAACATATCAATCTTTCTTTTTTTTCAAAACCCGAAATAGTAGAAAAATCTTTAAGAACTACTTCGATGTCATTTTTCCTCTAGAGATATTTTCAGATACTCAAAGAAGGAATCCCATTTACTATCTGCAGATTTGCCAAAAGTTCAGCAAAAAATCAACGAATTCTTGGATAAGTGCCTGAAATTTTTTTTATTATTTTTTTTTTTATTTCTTTGTTACATGCATAAGACAACAAAATCAAAAGAAACATTTTGAACTTTCGAAGATATTTCTTCTTACTTTAATATTTTATAGCTTTCATGCAAATCTTTTCCATTGATTGTCTTCCTCACATTCATGCATTTCATGTTGCAGTCAAGGCCGTTCAGAATTTAAAGCGATTGCAACCTTTTGTCTGATCGCTTGCTACATTTTACATATTATCACAAATTGCTAAAAAAAAAAAAAAAAAATATAAGAAAAGAAAAGCGACTGGTGTGTAGACTATTGAAAATCTGTTTAAGAGCTAAAGTGAGAATTCAAGTCGGAAAATAAGAAAAA